TAGCGTCAGCGGCGCAGAGGCGAGCATCCGGCGACCCGTACGCAACATAATAGAAAGCCATAAATTTGAAAAAATGACTACGACAACAAGTAACATTTAAATTTAATCTTTTTTATTATTGCCTAAAAATTTTGATAAAAAAGAGCCTTATAAAATTGTAACGTAACATAACATGTCATAAGATAACATTAACAGTCTATACGACCTAAAGCAGTTCCCTAAGTTCATCAGAAGATGGATACTTTTGAAAGTTTATAAATAAGTATGATAGCGACTTTTGGAAGAAGACTTAACATTTGATGCTATTTTTTCAGAATATAAAAAGATTTTGCTCTCTGTTGTTACTGGACATGAAACTACTTTAAATACTGGTACGTAATCCATCAAAAACTAAAAATCGAACAAATTTTACATAGCGCCCTTTGCAAGTCGTCGTTTAAAGTACAAAACCGCGTATCAACAAAATGCAAAACCGCGTATCATGATAATGCAAAACCGCGTTTGTGAGGTTGCATTTAATCACCACCAACAATTTTTTAATTGTGTGAAATTTCATAATAAAACTTTTATGTTAGCTTGCGAATTCCTTATAGTTATATAGCTTTAGCCGTTTAAAGTTTCTGAAATACAACAGTACGACAGTATACAACTGTTTGAAGTCGGTGCCCATGCTGGCTAATTTAGATTGTAACGCATACACCATGATGTAAGTCAATTCTTGAATCTCTTGCGGTCGATCATCAAAAAAACTCTTCTTTTTGGCCACTGCAAAAGAAAAGGTAAAGTAATATTTATAATTAAGAACACCTTTTCATTTTATACTCACGCATTGTCAATTTTTCCAACTTGGCATATGCACTTGCTATGTTTTTGCCAATATATTTTGTGACCATCATAAATTCCTGCACCATAGACTGTAAGAAATGCGTAAACATAATAATGTAAACATCTTCAAATGCACTTCTACTTCTAACTTACTTGTAAGTCTCTAATCTGTTCCTCGTACATAAATTGCGTCTACGTCAAGGTCTCTATACGATTGCCGCCTTGGTTTACATTGGCCTTATCCGACAACTTGCGTATGATAAGCTGCGCCATTTCCAACTCATTTGACTTTTCTTTGAACTGATGTTCAACATCGGGAGCACGTTCCTGCATTACATCTAACAGCCTTTTCATTTCATCCAGATGAGCCGCTTGATATGGTTTGATGTGTGTGAAGGTTTGTTTACAAAGTGAATTTTTGAGTAGTTGAACAAATGCCAGTGGGCAGCCAGCGTTCCAGTTGATGGCAACAATTTGCAGGCTTGGGCCAGCGTTTGTTGCGGTTGCCGGAAAAGTAGCTAAATAATGAAAGTAATTATATGTATAGCGGAGTAGGAGGTTTTCCTTTATTTTAAAAGCTTGGTTACTGATTTCACTAATTGACGACGATGCAACGAACACCGTGGAATCGTTCTGCAAATTGTTACCAGCAACTGACCCGCTGGCTGCCCGCTGGTATTTGTTCAATTACTGAAAAAATGCAAATCATTATAATGATTGCAGTGATTTAACACTTTCAGCGATTTGCATTGCATTTAATAAGTACACATTCTTTACTTTTAAACAACCAATTTACCATTTAAAACTAAATAATTCCGTAAATCCGCGATTTATTATGTACTTTGTAAACAAACCTTTCAATTCCGCCCCAGCTGTTCGATTCTTCTTCTTTTTCTTATTGAATTCGTCTTTGCTCTCTCATTCTGGTATTTGTTGACGTCGCGGCCAGTTGCTCTCAGCTCGATTGGCGCAATCTTCTATTCTATCATTCTTGTACTGATACTAATCGCTATACATAATACAAATTACGATACTGGTAGCCATGGCTACTAGACCAGAAACTAGACCCCAGTCGCCATACATCATAGGGACATTAGTTGCAAAAGTTACCAAAATGAAATAAAAGTTACCAAGTTACCAAACCGTTTAAAAGTTACCACTTTTGGTAGAAAGTTACCAATTGTTGCAACCATGCACTTGACCCGAACGATGAGAGTAAAAGAGGGCAAGTATTTGCGCGGCGATCGGATGTCTTGTTAGGCCGTTTAAAATGAATTGCGCAGGAGTTTAATATATATACATATATAGGGAAATCTTGAGATGGGGACATTCTGCGTACTGGCGTATTGTTTCCGAGACTAAGTAGCTGCACTGCCAAGTGCGGTTTCTGTACCTTCGTCAATACTATTTATATGTGTAAATATCAGTAAATAGTTATGCACAAAAAAAAGGTTTAATGACTAATTTATTCGCTAAAATCAAGAGAAACAGGAAATTTCTAGTGCAACTCGCATAAATTCTGAAAAAAAAAATATTGAAAAAACACCCTATCACAGAATTTGGTTGAAGAACGCCCAGAATTCGGTTCCAAACCAAAGCCGAAAGAGGGTTAATGTAAACAAATATACGAATCGTTTATATTTAAAATTTTAAATAAGCGTACGTCAAATATTGATTTCACTTTGTTTATTATTATGGTTTATTTGTGTTAATGGCCTCATTTTTATTTTAATCGCTCCGAGTTTTAAAGTGAGGTGAAAAAAAATTTATCACACTTTTAAAACACCAAACTTAAAACGTCAAACCGGCTAAGCTTTCTACGCCAAACTTTTAATTCAGAAACTGACAATAGAGATCCTGACCCAGAGTCAGTTTTAGAGCCATCAGTGAAGATTCGACAATGTGTGAGTCCGGTCACAGCGATGGAATCAAACCAGCATTCAGTCTCAGGGAACTCAACATTATAGAATCTCTTCGACAAAAGTAATGGTGGCGTACTATCCTGTAGCATTGAAAAGACACAAGTGCTTAAATCTCTGCCGCCTGCAATTTTCGCGGCGCCCCACTCATTGTCATACCAGCATCCGGTTCTTTTTAGTCTGCAGGTGGCCTTTAAGGCTTCCCCACGTATGAAAACACAAAGTGACGGTAAGTGCAGCAGTGCGTCAAGAGCACTATACACCACTCAAAAAAATTAAAGTTAAATAAAGAGGCTATCAAGCAACTATTTTGGTTCTTTACATTGAAACCAGATACATTTTCGTGGACCCCCATTTACAACTCATTGACCCCCATATTTTTTTCACATCACTGTGGACCCCTGGGGGTCCACCTGAACCACTTTGGGAATCACTGCTTTAGACCATATCTTTAATTAATACTAAGTTAATATGCAGATTAATATTTACTTAAGTGTTACGATTTTTTTTCTTAATAAAAACTTGTGGTCGGGAATGATACAAAAAATTAATTTATGATATCTATTTTTTATTCAAAGAACCGCAAGATCGCGCTACAAAGCAAATCTATACAAATATGTATATATTTTGAAATTCGTTTGTTCTGTTCACAAATCTCGAGAACGGCTCTACCGATTGTTTTGTTAACTTTGGACACCTCCCCGCAGCAAAATTTAGAGACAGTCTGGCAAAGCGCTACTTCCGCCCTACAAATTTCAGAACTGTCTCTGAACTACTGCAAAAGAGATGAAGAGCTGGACGGTTGAAACTCACGATTGAGAGAATACAAAGGTTGCGCCGATCTCGGACCGCTATTCCTCTCTTAACGAATTTGACAGAATCGTTGTTTGCATGACGTCACACTGGTGCAACTTGTTTACGTTTTCCTTGCAACATTTATTCTTCTTCTTCCATTCTTGCTCACGTTTTGGCATTTCTCTCTCGCGATTGCACCAGTGCGACGTCACCCAAAAGTTATTCTCAAAAATCCTCTCTGATCGGCGCAATCTTGTATTCTATCATTCTTGGTTGAAACTCATATGTTGCTAGTTGCGCTCAGGGTTGCCACTTTGGTAAATTGTTACCAAAATTGGTAGACAAAATTTGGGTTGGTAAAAAGGTAAATTTTTTCTCATTTTGGTAGATTTTTGATGAACTTTCTGTTCCCGATTTATTTTTCGTATTTATCTTTAAATATATTATAAATTTCTTTGCATGCTTTTTATATACTTACATACGTATAAATATATATCGATATAAGGCGAACATATCGCGCTCCATTCAAAACTAATTTTACTGGAATCCCGAGGAGCTTTTGATTGCCTCAATATTTTAAATGATTATTTAAATATAAAGAAAAATTTGACAGGTATGTAACTATGATTGTTCGCAAAAAAAATCAACGCCATTTTTTATCAAAGAAAAAAAATAAAAAAAATCAACGGGAATTTTAAGCAGCACATTGTTGGCTACACTCAAATAGTATTTGCTTCAAAACTCCAAACCTTAAATTGTTCTAAAAATTCAGAGTAAAAAATTCGAAATTTAGACGAAAATTTTTGGAATTTTTCTATATGTTGTATATAGTTTGAATCCTCGATTTTTTGGATTTAGTTAAAGCAATAAAAAAATTTTACTCGAAAAGTAGTGCGAATATTAAAATAAAATCACTTTTTTGAGTCAATGTATTTGTCTATAACAACTCGAGTTGAAGTTTTTTAAATAAAGAAGTTTCAGTGTTGCCTTTAGCTTCATCACTTCCGCTTTTGGTTGAAGGAAACTGAGAATATGCCAATAATATGACTCAAATACCGTATAACTAGTTAAATAAAAAGTTCTTAAAAAGAGTTTTCTTATTGAAATAACTAAAAAAAAATTAAAAAAAATCTACAGTTTTAATTAAAATAAATAAAAAATAACAAAACTATAGTTTTTATTAAAATAATTTTAAAAAAGTTATTTGTAGATATTCCCCAGATTTGGTAGATTTTTTTCAAGTGGATGGTAAATATTTTGTTTCGTCAGTGGCAACCCTGGTTGCGCTGTCATAAATGTTACTTATCCTACTCATGTGAAAGCTGACAAAAGAGGCACAACCGTACTATACTAGATATATTTTTTCGATTTGCTTAGACCCTAAAACTAATTGCAAACTGTTTTCGTTTATTTAATATGTAATTGTCTAGTTTATGGGGCAACTGCTAAAATATTTCCAAAAAAGTCGTTATTGGACACATTAATTTTTATACATATATACGTACGTATAAAATTTAGTGCAAAATATAACCATAAAATTTAGTTAAGCTAGACACACTTATCAGCAAAAGTCTGCGTACACCATTTCTTTTTTAAATATTCACTATATATTGAGGTAAAAATTTGTTTTTTTATTATTTTATAAAAAAATGTATCATGCTTAAAACAAATTCATATAAACCGTGTTTTCAAACTTTGTACAAAACAAAGGACAATTTAATGATTTCTGATCAAAATGTTCGAACTTTTAATCGGATTAAAAAAAAAAAAATAAACAAAAGTGGTAAACCATCTCGCTTTGAAATGAGGGTGCTATTGATATGGCCGATACTGTACATACGTAAATATATCACTGATCACCCAAAATGTGCAAATATTTTCCGTTAATTTTTTATTTACGTATGTCTCATATTCCATAAACCATTTAAATCAAATTTCTAACTGTGCTGGAAACTTGATAGAACTCTAAAACTGTCTTCCAATTTCAAACTTTTCAATCAGAGTTTCTTTTATAAATATTTAGAGTATTCAGTTTATTAGCCCATCAAATTTTAGTGCAGTAAAGTGTAACCTTGCATCTTAAACGAAAATAATTAAATAGAATACCTTCAAGAGCGTGCGTAAAAAGAGTTATGAAAAAGTCAGCGCGATAGATTATACTAAAATTTAATGGGTTATAGAACTGCATATTTATAACCAGTGTTGTCAGGTCTTCGGCATGAGAAACCGTCCCTCTGGTTCTGAAATAACGTCATTTCCTACCCAAAAACGTCTTTTTCAAATGAATGTACAAAAAATTGTTCTTATTAAACTTTTATTGTATACAAAGGTACGTAAGCTATATTAAAATGTCATTTCGACAGACCACATTTAGAATTCATTGCAAACTGGTTTGAGATCGTTAATATAAAAATCATTTTATACATACACTTGTGATCAGCTGATTAAGTCATCAACATTTTGATCGATTTTGGCTGTTTTTCTTTTATTTATTTAATGTTTATTATTTTTCCATAAAAGCTAGCTCATTATATAACAAACAAAATATAAATCCACATTTCAGACTTTGTGCAAAAATTATAAAAAATCTGCAAAGTTTCAGCCATATTTTCAACTTTTTATTCAGATTTTTTTGAATTTTTTTGAGTATGCAGTTTGATAGCCCATTAAATTTCAAGGCAATAATGTGCAAGTTTAAGGGGGCTACATAATCGCATTGATTATTAATAATTTTTTTTTCTTATAGACATTTGGTTAGGGGGTCGTTTGTCGAAAATGCGAAATTAAGTTCTGCTAAGAAGGAGCATAGCAATATTTCAGCCTTTTTTGCGTTCATTACATTTTCAATGAAGTTTTTCAAAAGTCGCCAACTTTTTTCTGACTTTTTG